GGGAGATATGTTGTTGATCTGCCCTTCAGGGAAGGTTGTCCATCGCTGGGTCCAAATAGATTTGTTGCTCTGAGACAATTTGAAAGAAATGAGAAGTCGTTGTTGCGTAAACCAGAATTGAAATCCCAATATGATGAGGTCATGAAAGAATATATAACGTTAGGACATATGGAGAAGGTTAATGATTCGGATTGTGTTCCTAGTTATTATTTGCCCCATCATGGTGTGTTCAAATTAGATAGTACTACAACGCAATTAAGAGTGGTATTTAATGGCTCAAGTATTTCATCAAATGGTCGAAGTTTAAACGATAACTTGTATATTGGTCCGACGTTGCAGCAAGATTTAGTGCCTCTGATAACAAAATGGAGATTTTATAAATATGTATTCAGTGCGGATATAACAAAAATGTACAGACAGATATTAGTTCACCAAAGACACACTAATTTTCAAAGAATAATATTGCGAGACTATGAGAATGGAGAGATTCAGGATTATAGATTGAAAACGGTGACTTTTGGAGTAAATTGTGCTCCGTACCTGGCGTTGAGAACGCTTCAGCAGTTAGCTGATGATGAAGAGAAAAGTTTCCCAATAGGTGCAAAAATATTGCGAGAGGCAATGTATGTGGATGATGCCCTGGTTGGTGCACATTCTGTAGAAGATGCATTGGAAGCTCGAGATCAGCTGATTGGAATTTTGAAAACGGCTATGTTTGATTTGAGGAAATGGACTTCAAATACAAAGGAAATTTTGGAAGATTTGCCATTGGAGGACTTGTTATCTAGTTCGTTTGTGTGTCTCAAAGAGGATAGCAGGGCGAAAATGTTAGGCGTTCGGTGGAATGCGGCATCTGATTGTTTCTATTTTGTAACGGAAGTCGTTCAAGTCAAGTCATCATATACGAAGAGACAAGTGTTGTCTATGATAGCTAGGATATTTGATCCAGCAGGATGGTTAGCGCCAATAATAATTACAGCTAAAATATTAATGCAGCAAATGTGGCTCGATCGAATACAATGGGATGAACCGATAAAACCATTTTGTGACTCATCGGAATTAGCATACGCTGCTACCGTTTATGTAAGGATAAAAAATGAAGACGGAGTTTTTTCGAATTTATTAATATCGAAGACAAAAGTTGCTCCAATAAACAAGGTGTCCTTACCAAGACTAGAGTTGTGCGGTGCCACTTTGCTAGCGAATTTAATAGAAAATGTCAGAATGAAATTGAAACAGAGTCAATTTGAGTTATTTTTGTGGTCCGATTCGACTATCGTCCTTGCGTGGCTCAGAAAATCCCCAAATTGCTGGAAAACGTTTGTAGCCAATAGGGTATCTAGTATTCTAGGCAAAGTTGGGAACATAGAGTGGAGACATGTTGTATCGAATTGTAATCCTGCCGATTTAGCAACCCGGGGGCTGACTCCTTCGGAGCTTAAGGATAATAAGTTATGGTGGCATGGACCAGAGTGGCTCATTTTGGATGAGAATAATTGGCCAATCAGTGTAACGGAATTTCAAACATCCTCGGAGGAAAAAAGGTCTCAATCTATGTTTGCTAAATCGTCAGAAATTGCGGATAGCTCGTTGAAAGCAAGTGGTGGCAAGCCGGAAGAAACGGAGAAAGTGACAGGAGACTCAGGTGAACCTCTAAAGGCAAAGGAGAAGCCAAAAGTGCAGGATTTTTTGTCGAATATATCTACTTTTCAAAAGGCGATTCATGTCGTAGCTAGAATGTATTGTTTTGTATCTCTTGCTCGGAAGTCGGATTCAAATCCTGAGATGTTGTCTTCAGAAGAGTTGTCAATGGCTAGAAAAGGTATATTTATATGGTCGCAGAAACAATATTTTTCAAAGGACTACGCTTGCCTAACAGCCAAGACCAGACTGAGTCCCAAAAGTCCATTGATCTGTTTAAACCCATTTCTAGATCAAGCTGGCATCATCCGGGCAAATGAACGGCATCCGGTGATTCTGGCATATGAAAGCAGGATAGCAAGACTTTATGTGGAGTTCGTTCATAAAATCACTTGCCACGGTGGTATCAGATTGGTAATGACGACCGTCCGCTTAGAATGTTGGGTCATCAGACTTAAAAACTTGGTGAAGAGTGTTATACACAATTGCAAGGTCTGTGTTTTACACCGTCAGAAGCTGATGCAACAAATTATGAGCGTGTTGCCCCCCGAAAGAACGACTCTGAGTCGAGCATTTACTAATACGGGAGTAGACTTTGCCGGACCGATTGAGATAAAAAGTTTTACCGGTCGTTATAGCAGAATTACCAAAGGATATGTGTGTCTCTTTGTATGTTTCGCAACTAAGGCAATCCATTTAGAGGCAGTCAGTGACTTGTCTACCCCAGCCTTTCTGGGAGCTCTAGATAGATTTGTGGCTCGAAGAGGTTGTCCAAATTCCATGTACTCGGATAATGGCAGGAACTTTGTGGGAGCTGCGCGGCAAATCGACTCAAACTTTGCCCAACAAGTTAAATCGTTTAAGGACGAGGCTGTCAATAAATTTGGCCATCAAAGACTTTCTTGGCATTTCATCCCTGCAGCAGCTCCTCATATGGGCGGACTCTGGGAGTCGGGAGTGAAAAGTTTTAAGACCCACTTCAAAAAGCTTTCTGGTCAACTTAAATACACCTTCGAGGAGTTCTCCACATTATTAGCGACGATTGAGGCATGTCTCAATTCTCGCCCTCTCGGATCTATGTCTGAAGACGTCGAGGACTTACAAGCACTCACGCCAGCTCACTTTTTAATTGGTTTCTCTATGTTGACCCCAGCGGAACCAGAAGAAATTAAACCGGTAAGCAGTATCTTCAACCGTTGGCGGAAACTGAAAGCAATGCATCACGATATATGTCGCAGATGGAAAGAAGAATATTTGGTGGAACTACATAAGAGATATAAGTGGAAAAATCCTCGAAATGACTTAATTGTCGGTGACTTAGTGGCTCTCAAAGGAGAATCTCTTTGCTCAACTGATTGGCGCCTAGGGCGAATAGTCAAGGTCTATCATGGTTCTGATGACAAAGTTTGAGTAGTTGATTTGAAAACCCAGGGTGGCATAATTACTAGACCCATTCACAAATTAGTACTCTTACCCCGTAGCTCACAAATCTAATCCATTACTTTATATTTTACCATAATTTAATTCAGTTGCTATTTCCAGGATGAAAACTATTGGTGGTCTTTTTAACATGAATTTTCCGTGTCCGCTTTGTGGCCGTCCTCACGCAATTCGACTTTGTACTACCTTTTTGGCCATAGACACCAGCAAAAAAAGAGACTTCGTGATGAATAACAGGCTGTGCATAAATTGTTTAGCGTCTTCCCATGAGAGATCGGCATGCCGGAGTCTTGATGTCTGTAAATTGTGTAATGGTTTCCACCACAGCTTTCTGCACCGTATGACGGATGAATATATTTGGTTCCCGATGACAGCAATGGTCAGAATTTATACCTGTTATGGTCGGCGAGATCAAAATACCAGAGTGCTGCTCGATCCCAATTCGAAATATTCTTATATTGCCTTGGAAGAAGCCCTTGATATGTACTGTCTTATGGACAACGAAAGAACTACGGTTGTGTTACAACATCAGAGTGTAGATCGGAAAAAGATCAAGGTTGAATTGGTGGTTCGCGATCGCGTATTTGGGGTTACTCCGACTGCACGGATTGATAAAGAGGCTAACATGTTTGCTAACCCTCCCGGTAATGTGATCGACGCAGACAGATATTGGAACCGGTCGTCGCCGTATTTTGTGATTCTGGGAGCCGAAGCCTGCAGAGCAGTTTTTGTGGGACCACCTATGGTTCAGCCTGGCCGTATTTTTATCCAGGATTCCATATTCGGCCGACTATATTTTGGTGAAGGCGAGAAGGTGCCGATTACGAGCCGATTGAATTGAATTTGATACCTGATTAAACCCAAAAACAAAAAAACCAAGAGAGACTGAATTCTATACTTTTAATTTCATTGTTAAATATCATTTTGTTTTCTAGTTTTCTAAGACATACTGAATTAAATTGTTTACTTTAAGACACTATTGTTAAGATTGTATTTGGGATTCGAAAATGGTTAGTGGTGGCTCTGAGATGTTGTTGCACTTTAGTGCAAGGCGGGCGGTATGGTTGCGTTGAAATAGTTTATTTAGATTTTCTATTACTTTTATTTAAAAATATAATTTCTAATGATATTGTTAAATCATGCTTTATTCCAATATGATGTAAACCCATTGTTACTCTCCGTCGATGTGGAAGATGTAGTCTCGGAGTTAACAGGGTGATTCCTACTTTGTAATAGTTTTGTGTTAGTTTAACGTGATTCTTAGACACCCACTAGCCAGAGTCGAATCCCTGTATGCATACGGCACATAACCGAGATTATAATCTCCAACAAACCACCGAACAGAGAAGTTCAGCCCGCACATTACCTTTTGTACAAATAAAATTTGAATTTGAAACTGAAACAAAATTGGACTACAAACTGAATTAAAAACTCAGGAAAGGAAAGGGAGATAATCAAATACTATAAATTCACTTCCATTTGAGCTTCACTTGCCTGGGTATCAATATTGTGGGCCCGGAACAAAGTTGGAAAAAAGACTACAACGAGGTGATAAAGGAATAACGGCTTAGACGATGCTTGCAAACTATATGACATTGAATATTCTAAAACAACTTGGGGTCGAGTTAAAGCGAAAGATAGTACTTGGGGAGAAAAAGTTAATGCTTATTTGGTCACCAACACTATGAAAGCTAAATCCAAACTTGGTATGGGTATAACGAAGAAAAACATATGCAAAAAGAACTTATTTTCTTCTGCAGTAAAAAATGCAACATCAGTATTAAAAAAGAAGAAACCGAATGATATCAATGCAGCGATAAATATTGCTCACAAAGAAATTGGAAAATCATTCAAGGGGAAAAAATCTAAAGTTATTATTCTTAGAGTTATAAGAATACCGAAAATTGGTGGATTCTTACCAATAATACCAATTTTAACAGCCCTCAGCGCAGTGGGGGCATTGGCTACTGGTGGATCATCTATAATGAATGCAATAAACTCAACAAAAGATGCAAAGAGACAGTTAGAAGAAAATATCCGTCATAATAAATCTATGGAAAACATAGCTATAGGCAAGGGACTCTACCTCAAACCATTTAAAAAGGGATGGGTATTATATACAAAAATAAGCTATCGACAAAAAAACTAATATGTAAGCTACCAAATAGAACTCTAACAGATTTAGATATTAGAACGTTTGCAAGGAAATATATTCCGCATTTTAGAGGAGTATATATGCGTGACAAACTCCCCAAAAAACCACATATTATAGAATGCGGCATTGTTAATCTCGATTCGTATAAAGGTCCTGGGACCCATTGGGTAGCATACTATAAAAATTATAATAAAAAAGAATATTATGATAGCTTCGGCAATCTTCAACCTCCTTTGGAAATACTGCAGTATCTCGGAACTGATGTAACTTATAATTATGTAAGAAAACAAAAATTCAATTCTTTCAACCTGCTTCAGGTAGGATATTGTTAAATTCCTTTAGGTTCAATGGTATATTGTTGGTTGGAATCCCCCGCATTAAAGCACAGTTGCTAGCTTAATGTTTGTGTTCTGCCAGTGGTGAATCTGTTTCTTTCCAACGACAAATTTCCACTCCACAAAAATAACAAGTAACTCTATCTGCTTGTCCTGTATAATAAAATCCAACTATTGACATTTCTCTAGGTTTTGGATTTATTAGTGGCCAGGCATCGAATGTCTTCAACCGCTCCTCCTCTCTATAAAAACATTCCTCAACGAAGTTTGACGAGTTTAAATTTTGATAGCTAGAGAAATGCATGCATGCTTTTACTGAAACTTCTGTTTTAATACTGATTTTGGGTAAAATATGAATATCTTTGTTTTTTTCTTTTATTAAGCTACATATGGTGAATACAATAGATCGTTCGGTAAAATATGTTTTAATTCTAGTTTAAAGGTGGTGGTATTAATCGCTTCATTCAATGGTTTCTTAGCAATTGAAAATCCTCCTTCACTCAGTTTCATTATAGCTTCATCTCCTAGAGAAATGAATCTTGCTGGTAGATAGAATATAGAGTCCTCCAATTTTAAAACAATTTTCATTCCATATTTTGTTTGCGTTTTGTAGGCGCCGCTTATTAAATATTCCTTATTAGCTTCTATATTCTTCATACTTAGTATTTTCTTAAAGAAAATTGAAAGAATTAACTAATTCAGTGCAGGAATTCATCTTATAACACTTGTTTTTAAACTGTATGATATTCATAGAATGTTGCATTTATTTATATGATATTGCTTATGTTTGACTCCACCCCCAATCCGACCCATCCATTAATATTGTTAAAATGTATTACGCAATAATTAAATAAAATGAGAAGACAAACCCCCTTCTCACTCTCACTTTTTTTTATTCCCTCATAATAAAAAGACAACAATTATTTATTCATATTTCTTTTATTTTATTAACAAAAACAAATAATAATAATATTACCAGCCCCAAACCAAAGCAAAAAAAAGTCATGATTTTATTGTTTTATTCGTTATGTTTATTATTAAATTGGTTTATGATATTCTTATACCTATTTAAATCCTTTGCAACATCTTCCATTGCATCATCGCTTTCAGCTTCACTACATAAATCGATAATGTTATCTTTAATAACACCTTCCAGCTCATCATATGTTTCCTCCTTCACACATTCCTCCGCATCTTCAATTTCATTTGGCCAACTCTCCACTGATAATATTATTGGGTTTTCAGGGAGATAATCAGTGAAATATGTGTCTGTCGCTTCCAACTCATAAATGTTTTGCCCCTCAGGTATCCGTACCCTTAGACAATCTTCTATCAAGTCTTCTCTTGATGCATCCCATATATCTGATACTAACGATCTTTCTTCTTCTTCCTCGCACCATGTTTCCTCAGATGTTCCTTCTTCACCAGCTCCCTCGGGGGATATTTTGTTGCTTGTCCCTTCATCTTCGGTAGGTGTTTCCTTCTTAGACCAATCGATATCATCCGACCAATCCATATTCTCTAAACCTAGAGCATCTTTATGGATAATTACTCCTTTGGCCACCAAATGGTTCTCCATTTTCGCTAAACTTTCCGGGCTGAACCATTCCTCCTTTTCAAAAATCTGTGTTACAAAAGGGTCTTCCAAATTCTCCATAGATGACTCGTTCAAAACTTTTAATGACATGATGTTGCTTATAATGATATCACTAAACTGATTGAACTCCTAAAAATGAATATTACTTTTATACACATAAGTCCTTTCTCTTGTGGATATTTTTTTAAGGAGCCAATATAAATTAAATAAACATATCACACTATTATAGAAACCCTTGGTTGTCACCAATAAATTCATCTTACACTTGACGAATATCAAGATTCTATCACTCAAACAATATTTTTAGAATAATTGACAACCTTTTTCCGTATTTATTGACAATTAATTCATAATTCAAATATACAAAAAAAAATCTTAAGTATATCCCACACAAATTGTTAGTAAGGAAATTCCAAATAAAAAAAATCATAATTCAAACACACATTTGTAATGTAAAGATATTAGGCGCCATCCTAAAAAAAAGGTCATCTCGACACTGAGTGTGTCTCAAACAACACACACACACAAACATCCCCTAAAATATGCATACAATAACTCACTACACGATATTAACTGCAATAGAATGCCCCGTGGTTAATAAGTCATAGGCACCATCACACACACACATACACATAACCACCCGCATCACCCGGTCAAAATATCATCTTACTACAGTTCGTCTTAAACATAACACACAATAATCCCCTAAAAATATTACACACCTGCATTTTCTATGCTTAAACAAACCACGCAAACAAATCACGTACAAATCAAACATCATGAATAATAAGTCATAGGCAATGCATTGAACACTGCATTTCACATTAATTATCCCCATTTCACCTCGGCTACTGAATCCACATAAATGACCCCCATTTACACCACGTAAACAAATCACGTTCAAATCAAACATCGTGGAAAATAAGCCATAGACACGATTAATACAAATAAAAGGGATAACAATAACAACGCCTTGCCTTTGACATGTGTATTGAACACCTGCATTTGCCCCCCGGTTACTAAATCCGCACAAATTATCCCCATTTCACCCCCGGCTACTGAATCCACATAAATGACCCCCATTTCAGACCCTAATTATTCTCTAGTGAAACTAATTACAAACTTTTAGCTAAATTTTGGCTATAAAATTCAAAATCAGCAACCCCCCTCTACCTCCATATCTTAACCTCAGACACCAACATAGACATATATAACTAAATTCATGATTCCAGCCTTGTTCTGTCACTCAATACCAAATTTGGTATTATTTAGTAGTTTTCGTACATATATAGGACGCTTTTCAAAAACTACCTCTATATTTTAACTTCAGACAACATCAGAGGCCTAATAAAAAATTTCGGGTTGCCTTATACCAATGTAGGTATTATTAAGTAGTTTTCTTGCAAATATAGGGCGCATTTCCAAAACCACTTCCATACCTTAACCACAGACACCAACAGAGGCCTAAACACCAAAATTTCGGGATTCCAAACTTATTCCTTCACCTAACACCAATTTCAGTATTATTAAAAGTTTTCTTACAAATATAGAGCACATTTCCAAACCCACTTCCATATCCTAACCACAGACACCAACAGAGACCTAAATAACAAATTTCGGGATTCCAACCTTATTCCTTCACCCAACAGCAATTTTAGTATTATTAAGTAGTTTTCTTACAAATAAAGGACGCGTTTGCAAAATCACCTTGTTAATGTCAAAATCGTGGGTGAAAGGAAAATATAATTACTTCCAGCATTTCAGGTTTTTCTGTTTCTTTTTCAATGATTTTCCTCACATACACTTTGACTTTGCCGCTTGCTTATTCGTATATGTATGCGTTCTGCTTTCATTTTCGAAACATGTCGTCTGTGCTTTCACGGACTTTTTCTTTTCTCTTTTTACTTACTTACAATTCAACCATTGTTACAAGCGGTTAGAATTCGTTTCAAAAAAAAAAAAAAACCTAAAATTTCCTTTCAATAAAGTATATTTCTATATTGTTTAATTCAACACTTTAATCCGTTTGTCTTTTTCTCTTTTATTCCTATACATCCTGATATCCATTTGGAAGAAATATTGTGTTTCCACCAGTTCGGTTTCTAAGCGCCTTCACTTTCTACAGGAAAATTGCCGACAAATTCTTGGTATTTTCATTTGGTCCCCGAGATCCTGATAAGCTTAAGCCGAAATTTCTGTTCCAGTTTGGATTAACAACTTCACTTTGTTACGTGCCACCTGCGTCGGCACTATGGTGTTGTGACCACTTGCTCAGGAGGCATGTTCAGGGGTCGGTTCCATCCCATACACCAATAGCCCTGAGGACGAACAATTAAACAATTAATGGATGAACACAAATTCTACATAACACAAACACTACGTACATCTGGAACAAAGGAACTGGATATTTCTGCTCCCACACTAGCCCGCCCAACCTTGACCCTAAGATCCTATATAAATGCCGATTTAATCTACCCACCTCAGTACAATGTACACCAACTTCACTCTCTTAAAAACAAACTGGCCACTCATGATTACACAGACAATCATATAACAAACGGTTTATTACAATATAGAATTTCCTTAAAACAAAACATACAAACTGAAATTTGAAACATTAACTATCCAGATATTTTAGTTGTTATTTGTTGGGTTCATACATATCAGACTACCCTTAATTATTTCAGTCAATTAGATGTCGCCTAATTTTGGACTTTCTAAGAAATGCAATTAGTTCCTGCCTAAACGAGCTCTCTTAGGTGGTTTGGGGACCCGCAAACTGGTCCACAAATATTCAACGGAAACTCAAAAATTCATAGATATAAGACTCAAAGTAATTAGGGTTAACCCTACACTCCAATTTACTTTTAAAATTTAGAATAATTAATGGCCCTCACAAAACAAGAACATTTATGCTGAACACAAAAAAAAAAAAAACAATAATATACTTAGACAACACAACTTAACCTAAAAATAATACATTTTAATTAATTTTTTTTTTTTGATTATTTTTTTTTTTCATTTTTTATGCTTGATAGAACCAAGCAAGCTGTAAGTTTCATAAATAATTTTGTTACCTGGCTTTTTTGCTATCTTTAGTACAACCTGCTTTGTTCTTTTCCAGGATCACTCTTTCGCGACCTCGTCCACCGGGATAAGGCAGAACCCGGATATTATGGATCAAGGAAATTGGGAATAGTTGTGATGGCAATGCGATCAAAAAAATTGATGTTATGGTGGCGGTTACTGTGGCCAAAAATTTTCGCTGTGGCGGTTGCTGTGGCCCTTATTTTTGGGTCGACCTCTCCGCTTTTGTTTGCGGGGAGGCCAGTTGATACCCTTGATATCTTTAAGTTATTTTGGCGAAACACTGAAAAACATAAAAGCATACAACACAAAAACACTCATAAATCTACACAATTATAATTCATGCAAAGATCACTTACAATCTATTCCTAACGCCCTCAACATAGATAATAAAATAAATATCGAGGCTTTTTATTGCCTTAAAAATATACAACACTATTTTATTTTGAAAATTGCAAGTTTTAATTATTTTACTTTTATGACCACCTACTATGCGTTTTCCTTTTTTCCCCCTATCATACAAATAGGATGACGCTGCATTTTCTGCTTTTCGGTTTTCCTCAAATTTTCC